GCGCGCGCGCACACACACACACACACACACACACACACACACACACACACACACACACACACACACACACACACACACACAATATTGGCTTAATTCTCCTTCCTGTATAGTAGTCTGTTGCTTCAATTTACCTTTTAGCGCTGACTTTCATCCTACCCCATATCCCCTCCGGCATGCATTTGGTTCCATTTTGGGCATGAAACTCCTTGTGGTCCTGCTCCCCGCAGCCATACCATCATAGACACAAAACGGCCTCTCCTCCAATGAATGTCCTGGCCCAAAAACACTCCGCAATGGCTTTACACGACGCACAATGAAATTAAAGAGAAAAATTAGCAGAGCTCTTATAACAGGCTGGGAATTTAAAGGCGTCATATTTCCCCATTGCGTCTTATTTGATCTCACCTAGATCAAAGTTGCTCAGAAGAGGGTGGATTAAGTCCATCCATCCAATATGACAAATGAATTATAGCACTGCTTAATTTACTGTAATTTCTGGAGAATAGAATGAAACATTTAGTTTTTGTCACACTGCGTTTATTGAATGGCCATTGTGCTGCTCTTTCTGATGTGCTCGTCCTGGCCGCTGGAGGCTGTATACGACAGAAAGACACATACCGCTCCTTGATAAACGCACTACTGAATGTTAAGAATGTCTTCTAAGTGAGTGAGTGGTTATATGTGTGTGGTCTTTTTAGACTTGGGCTGTCAGATCTTTGTATATACAGTATGAGTCTTTTAAAACACACATGCAGATGTTCTTTAATTTAAACTGACATTCATTGTAGTCTCTGTTTATTTCTAACGTTCAATGATGATTTAACTCCTAACATACAGTGAAGATGAATTCTACTTTGAGTGAGCAAGTTCTGTTCTGTTAAAGATCTTTGACAACTACACAAATCCACTGTATATTTCAGAAGTCCACAAAACCATCATGAAGGATAGACGTCATATGTGGTTTGCCAAATGAAATTCATATAAATGTTTGAACCCTTAAGGCAACACACAAATACAATTACTGTATTTTAAAAGATAACATCAAATGCCATGTTTTTGTTCCCTGCCTTAAATAAAAGTGGCACTTGATGTGAACTTTTTCAGGCATGGGCATCAATTACTTTACTTTTCATTTTTTGTGCGTGCACACACACACACACACACACACACACATTTTGGGGGGGGGCTAACAGACATTTTGTTTACATGTCAAATCACTGGCACAATTAAATTACTAAGTACTTGAGTAAATCTTTTTTTTTTTTTTTTGTAAAAGAAACGTTCCAATGCCTACATTTACTGAAGGCGGGTCAATGTTGATTTAAGGCAATCACACACTCTCCTTCGGTTTTGCTTCCTGCCCTTCCTGGCCAATGGTAGCTCTCGATGTGCAAGACGCTGACCAACCAGCTTCGTCCTTCTTGACATTTTGAAAAAGTTGGCGGCCGTATTCGTTGGGAGGAAGAGTTGAGCCACACTTTAAAGTTGTCGATTTAGCACAAAGATGCAGGTAAGTTTTTTTTCTTCTGTTGTAGTTGTGAAATAATACAGCACGTGGGTTACTAACCTTGAGCCATTCACTTTTCCCTTTGTTCATACGTTTAGCCACCTAGCCGACAGTGGCTGAGCGACTGTTTTGAACGAGTGAGCCTAAATTAACGATTTAAATCTTGTGAAAATTCATATATTACAAAGGAACAAAACGTCTTAATATACACTCAGCACGTCTTAATCATTGGCTATGACCAAAGTTTGCTTTCCTCGTTGCTTACACACTAAAACATGTTGTGGATGATAAGAACGTTGTTTGCGGGGTAGTTGTTGTTTACTATTGTACCGAATGTATGTCTTTTTCTCATTGTAATCACTCAACGGAAAATTACAATGGCCGTTATGTGCGACCCTGCTTGCAAAGACTGCAAAAAACAAAACAAAACACTGGCATTGTTGGTTAATATACGTGTCTTGATTCACATCCACATACTGTACATATGCATTCTGTCTGTGTACTGTGTATAAGTCTCACAGAGAAAGTATTGTATATTACTAGATAGGTGGCACAAAATGCTAAAATTAAACTTTGTTAAAAATATCGATTTATGTTTTACTTTGTTTCCTCGTTGCATAAAAATCCAAAGTATAATTGATTAATTGCCAAAATATATTTCTTTATAGAATAAAGAAAATCACGTGCCAAGGGCTTTGCAGCAGCAGGTAAGATGATGAAACCGAGCGTTGAACTAGTAACATGTTGTAATCCTGCAGTTGTTCATGAATGTAGCAGTTATGTTTTTTTAATAACAACGTACAGATGTAAATATTCAGCCATTTCTTTTACAATTGTGGATTACTGTCATCTTTTTCACACACATACACATTTTTTCACGACGAGGTAGTATTCTATATCTACACAGAAGTAGGGTGTAACTAAAATACACACACACTCACACACACACACACACACATTTTGTTTTCTTTGTATTGCAAAAGAAAGGCCATACAGAAAAGTCATTCTACTCAAGAATCTATTCACAATAAAGGCAACATTTCTTTCTGCTCTGAACCTGTCGGACTAGTCCTCGAGTATTTTGGCAGGCCCACAGCGTGTTCTGGTGAAACCCTGGCTAACTGCAGACAAAAATGTAGTCACAGGTAATGTGAGGGTCTTTAAAAAATAAGTAAATATAGACACTGGGGAATATTTTTGAACTTACTTTGCTGATAAAGTATACATCAATTTTAGGACCTGTCAGAGAGTGTGTTGGTTCATCCTCCAGTTCAGTTGCAAAGTAAGTATCCAGTAATCCCTTGCCTTTTTAAGCGTGTTATGGTAAACATAAAGCAATGTTTTTTTTTTTTTTTTCCTGCTGGAATCCACTTCAATTAGTGTACTGTATTTAAAATTGCGACAATGTGATGACTGTAGGGTTGGGCATTTTTTGAATTCCGGTCCCGATTCCAGTTTGAAACGATTCTCAATGCTGATTCTTTTACAGGGCAGGGTAAAAAAAAAAAGTATGCATGGTTTTGATTTAATCAGAGTAGTAGTGATCGAAAAAACGTATTTTGCATTATTAAACAACCAGATGTGCATATAAGATGTAGGTATTGTTGTCCACTTGGAGTTGATTAATTCTGACATAATACTTTGGACATTCATTTTTGTATGCGTTGTTTGCTCCTGGCTCACCATCGCTTCACCATTGGGGGAAGTTATTGATCCGTGTGGTGGTGCATGAGCCAGCAGATATTATTCCATATGGAAAAATTAAGCTTCGAGGCAGCGATTTGGCTTCACCTGGGTTGTTTATATATATATATATATATATATATATATTTTTTTTTTTTTTCAATTACTACACTCTCTTGATTTCCTCCTGCCCCCTTCTTTTAAAATCAGGCAAGTCACCATTGACGACTTTGACATCGGTCGACCCCTGGGGAAGGGCAAGTTTGGCAACGTGTACCTTGCCAGGGTGAAGAAGCTGCAAGCCATTGTAGCCCTGAAGGTGTTGTTCAAGTCGCAGATGGAGAAGGAGGGTGTGGAGCATCAACTCAGGAGGGAGATCGAGATCCAGGCCCACCTCAAGTAAGTGTCTTTTGCTGTATTTCATTTTGTCTCACTGACTCTCTTGGCAGCCATTGAAATAATACCATGGAAACCATCCAGAGTCACACAATCCGTTCTGGGATGTTGATCGAATGCTGTTCAGCTGTAAAATGATTTTTTAAAACAAAAATATTAAGATATAAAAACAAACACTCGTAACTTTTATCACCTATTGCAGACATGCTGTGAAGGTCATTCACCTTGTATCATTTTTTACAATCTTCATGATTTAATGAGTTTGAAAATGTATTTGACTGCTTTGTAATAACAGTTTGTGATATATTTACAGTTAAAACTATTAAAATAGGCTATTACACGATGTCCTTTTAGGACGGGTGCCAATTGCATTTTTAGAACTGTGATTGTATTAGTTGTAGCAGTCGTATATTGTGGCTGTCGTTGCCCGGACTTCATCTATGACTGGTGAAACAGGAAAAGTTCCCATGAATGTGATAGCAGTGCTGTTTTTGCTGATGAACTCAATGGATACGTCACCACTATGGCTTAAAATGATTTTGGAAAATAATGAATAGCCCCCTTAAATATTGTGAGTGTAATTTAACATGCAATCATTTTTTTAAAGCGAGATAACACTTTGTCTGCGGTATGGAGTGTACAACCAACCTGAAGATTTACATTTTTACCTATCCCAAACTCAACAAGGACTGTATTTCCAGCTTGAAAAGCAAATTTTTCCACTCCTTTTATTGGTATGTAAAATGTCAGAATGCTCAAAACGTGACTTGGCACATATGTGACACCCCCGACCCCCAGACGATCGGGGGCATGTGACCCCATCCCATAATGCTTCACGGTTGAAGATGTAAATCATTTCCCTTTATAACTTTTACGTTGAATAATTTCTTGTGTTCCTGTTGGTTGATAAAAGGGTGTGTTTTACCTCCTTTATTTTTTTTTATTTGTTAACTATTTGTTTTCTTTCATGTGCAAACTATGCATGTACTGAACTTAAATCCTGGCTACATTTGATGTGGGTGGGGTATCAATGACTTGTGCCTCATGTTACTCACCTGTGCAGCTTAGTGGCAATTGTTATTTTCTTTCCTGAAGATAAGCATCTTACAGTTGTTGGATATTTTGCCAGCTTTGTTTTGTCACAAAGCAATGCATTAAGTCTTGTAATAGTAACTTTAGTCAGATTATTAGTTAGATCACTTGTTACTTGAAATTGCAGCCATCACTGAGTAGCGCGTTACTTTGTAACACGTCCTTACTGTCATCACTGCGCTCGGGTCACTTGTAATTGAAATACCACTTTATTGCTAAATGTATATTTATAGTTTTCCCCCCTTCTTCTCAGGCATCCCAACATCCTTCGCTTCTACAACTATTTTCATGATCGCAAGAGGGTGTTTTTGGTGCTCGAGTACGCGCCACGTGGCGAGCTGTACAAGGAGCTCCAGAAATACGGACGCTTTGATGACCAGCGCACTGCCACGGTAAGACATTGTTCTTTGAAGCGAGGAGCCATCCTTTTGTCAATGGAGGCGGTGTTGTCTTGTAAGATCGTCTCATGTTTGCAGGGTTATGGTTAGTTAGATTTTGTGTGCACGTTTGGGTGTGTTCGTTTTTATTTTTTCCAAAATGCTTCGTTTTAGTTTTTATTACTTCTTTTTTAAACATGCCGTGTTAGTGAGAAATAAAACCCGGCAGATTCGCATAGTTGCCGTCTTGTTTTTTTTTTTGGCTTTTTTCAAAATGTATTTTACATGTTTATCACGGTTTGGGGAAAATTCTGGGAGGTTGAAATCCCTCCAATGCGTTTAAAGGGCATCGATTATATGCAGATTTTAGTTTTCTGCGAGCCGGCCTGGTCCACTGCAGTCATAGTTTTACTCTATTAACCTAAAATGTAGTGTCCGTGAGTGATATAGTTTTTAAAAACACTTGGTTTTAATAAACAAAATATATTTTTCAATTTTTGTTCGTTTTGTTAGTTTTTGTCAATAATACGTTTTTTAACAATGATAATAACCTTGGTTGTTTGTTCATAAGTGGTGAAGAATTTCTGAAGATGTTGCTGCTTTCATTTCCAGTACATGGAAGAGATCTCCGATGCACTGTTGTACTGTCACGCGAAGAAAGTTATCCATCGTGACATCAAGCCAGAGAATCTACTACTTGGCTACCGTGGGGAGCTGAAAATTGCCGATTTTGGTTGGTCGGTTCATGCGCCTTCTCTCAGGTATGCAGCACCTATCAAGTTCCAGATATTTGTAAAACGTTTTCCAACTTTGAAACTGGATTTTATTTTTTTTTATTCTTCAAAAGCCACTACTGCAAAGTACATGTAACGTATCGCCATTTGTGCAGGCGTCGTACAATGTGTGGAACGCTGGATTACCTCCCTCCCGAGATGATCGAGGGCCGCACCCACAGCGAGAAGGTGGACCTGTGGTGCATTGGAGTCCTCTGTTATGAGTGCCTTGTGGGGAACCCTCCCTTCGAAACTACCTCTCACTCTGATACCTACAAAAGAATTATGAAGGTGAGTCAGTCACAGTCAATGTTTCGAACATTTGCCTCTCTCAGGCTAAATTGCTGTATCACAACCATCCATAACAGAAGATCCATTATTTATGTCTTAACTCAGTGAAATTGGGTTTTTGTTTCCTCGGCTGTGTATGCTTTCTCATTGAAATAGGACCAGTGTCTGGTGTAGAGCTGAACAGTTTTGAAAAATAATCTAATTGTAATTTGTTCTCCTCAATATTGTGATTGTTATTTAATATGCAATTATTTTTTCAAGGTGTTTCTTTTTTTTTTTTTGATAAACATCCATCCATTCTCTACCGCTTATCTGGGGTCGCGTCGTAGGGACAACAGCTTTAGCAAGGAAGCCCAGACTTCCCTCGCCCTAGCCACTTCTTCCAGCTCTTCCCAGGGGATCCGAAGGCGTTTCCAGGCCAGCTGGGATACATCATCTCTCCAGCGTGTCCTGGGTCATCCCTGGGGCCTCCTGTAGGTGGGACATGCCTGGAACACTTCACCAGGGAGTTATCCGGGAGGCATCCTAATCAGATGCCCAAGCCACCTCATCTGGCTCCTCTCAATGTGGAAGTGGCATGACTCTGAGTCCCTCCCGGATGACCGATCTTCTCACCCTATCTCTAAGATAGAGCCCGGACACCATGCGGAGGAAACTCATTTCGGATGCTTGTATCCAGGATCTCATTCTTTCTGTCACGACCCACAGCTCGTGACCATAGATGAGGGTAGGAACGTGAATCGAGAGCTTCTCCTTTTGGCAAAGCTCCTTCTTCACTACGACAGACCGATACAAAGTCTGCATCACAGCATACACTGCACCGATCTCCCACTCCATTCTGCCTTCCCCCGTGAACAAGACCCCAACATAATTAAACTCCTCCACTTGGGGTAAGATCTCATCCCCAACCCGGAGAGGGCAACCCACCCTTTTCTGACTGAGGACCGTGGGTTTAGATTTGGACTTGCGGATTTTCATCCCAACCGCTTCACACTCGGCTGCAAGCCGCTCCAGTGAGAGCTGGAGATCTCGGCTTGAAGAAGCCAACATCACCTGCAAAAAGCAGAGATGCAATACTGAGGCCAACAAAGCGGACGCCCTTAACATCTCGGCTGTGCCAAGAAATTTTGTCCATCAAGGTTATGAACAGAATTGCTTACAAAGGGCAGCGGTGGTGGAGTCCAATCCTCACTGGAAATGAGTCTTAATGCAAACCAGACTGGCATCCAAGGTAGAGGGACCAAACAGCCTGTATTAGGGGGTTCGGTATCCCATACTCCCGAATAACCCCCCACAAAACTCCCAAGGGGCACGGTCCAACACCCTTGACAAGCCCACAAAGCAGATGTAGACCAGTTGGGCGAACTCCCATGCACCCTCGAGGACCCTGCCAAAGGTGTAGAGCTGGTCCACTGTTCCGCGGCAGAGACAAAAACAAACACAAGCAATAACTTCACAAAATTAAAATGTATCTGTTGCAATAAACAATATCAGAAATATTGAAATACAAATGAACCATGAATGACTTTTTTTTTTTTTTAATCGACTGTACTTCAGTTAGAGTTGTTAACTTCCGAAACACTTTGACTTCCAATATTTCGAATGTTCACTATGACGTCACAAAATTCTACCAAACAAGTATGACTTAAACATAAATCAAAACGTCCTAAATCAGATTACAGTAATAGGAAAATAAGCATAAGTTGAGGCACGTCCTGTTAGATGTTATAGTTACAATGTCATCCTGACACCGAAATCCTTCTCTGATGTGGCACTTGAAAATACTGTATGTATTTCTCTTCTATATTATATAGCCGTGGGAAGTTTCTTTTCGGGCCCGACCTATATATAGAATTTCTGAGGACGATTTTGTGGCTGGGAAAAAATATATATATTACCGTGGCCAGCTTGGTCCCTATTTCCCACGAATAGCGAGGGTCAACTGTAAATATATTCGAGATTGAGTGTCCTTGTCCTTTTTGGTTCCCAGAATGCACTGTGGTGCAGTGCATTTCATTAATAAAGTTATAATGACATAAATCCTTGTCATATGTGTTTGTCTTACCTGTAGTTGATTGTGTGTCATACTTAACACGTATGTTTGATCCATGTTGTTATGTTTTTATTTTATTATTTTGTCACTCGTAAAATGATGTAAACTGATTCCGCTGTTGTCTTTATGTTGTTTAAAAGTTTGAGTTTTCCTTTCGCGCTACTTGCTTTGTTTTCACCAATCTTTAAAGATACTGTTCTCTTAGTTTGTCAAGTGCATAAAATGAAAGGACAATTTTAAAATCTACAGGACTGATGGCTCTTCAGCTGTTTCTGAATCTGGTCCCGTTATTTTGCAGGTGGATCTAAAGTTCCCAAGTGTCGTCTCCGAGGGGGCACGGGACCTGATCAGCAAGCTGCTTCGCCACTGCCCCACCGATCGTCTACCGCTACAGCGCGTCATCGAGCACCCGTGGGTCCGCGACAATTCGCGCCGGATCTTACCCCCCATCTGTCCTGCCAAAACCTCGTGAGCCCAATCCAAAGCTACCTGTGTTATTTTTGTGATGGGGAGATATGATTCATCGTCCTGCATTCTTTTAGTAAATGTCCTGCTGTGGGCTCAAAAATGTATTTTTCATGTTGTATCTTGTACAGGGTGGTGTTTTTATTTTTGGGTGCATCTCAATAAATGAGAATATTGTCAAAAATGTCATTTCATTTGATTAATTCAAAAACGCAATTGTACAGATCCATTAAACAGTGGAGGGCCCCAATGTGAAGTCCCCCCCACGAGGCCCCTAAATCCCTGCAGGCACTGTTGGTTGTAAGGCTGAATTTTAATTGACAGTGTCAAACAGATTTAATAATATAGTAATAATTGTGCTTGCCTTTTTTTTTTTTTTTTTTATGAAAGCTGATAAGTGCCATCAACAATGTTTTACACTAGTCAACTAAGTACAATACAGTACACTCATGAATAAAGCAGGGGTCACCATCATAGTCTCCATGTCAACCCCAAGGACCACATGAATGACCTGGGGGCTTTTTTCAAGATAGCTCAGTACAGTGTTAGTGTCAAGTGAAAGTCTGACATTCTGGTTTCCTCCCAATGTTGAAGTGATCATTTGAAAATGCAAAAATGTAGTTGCAGGTTCATATTTATCTGCTTCCTCCCTCTTAAATCAGAAATAACAAATATTTTCGAGATCAGTTTTTCCCACTGCAAACAGTGGTACCATTTATGTTGCTCCAAATACCTGTACTCCAGTTTTTCTTTTACACGCCATGAGCTTTCCAGGAGTAATTGGCATTAGTTGTTTTCTTAGCACTAATTGATATAATTGTATATGTATAAAGTGCATGGACAAACTGTCAGTTGACATGGAATAACCTGAAAAACTGTACATGTCCATGTGCACGCTTTCATCAAGTAATAAAATGATCCGTCATTATTGTATGCCAAGTAAATACGAGTAACTCTTCTACGCCTGCCTACAGTACTTTAATATGCCTTACAACTGTACGAAAACTAACGAAGTGTTTAGAATTGACATGCCCGAGAAAATGTTTCTTTTTGCAGACCGGTTTAGTCATTGAGAAATCATTAACATGATCAAATTACATAGACGAATCTAATTGTTAATAATATAACAGCTAACTTTCCCAAATCACCTATTTTCGAAAAGGAGTAACTGGAATTAGTTTGGCTAGCAATTTACTTTTAGTGACTTTGGTGATCACTTTGGTCCATCACGGTAGCGTGGCCGAGCGGTCTAAGGCGCTGGATTAAGGCTCCAGTCTCTTCGGAGGCGTGGGTTCGAATCCCACCGCTGCCAATAGTGTTTTTAACGTGATATCCCAACTGTAACATTCAATCGATCGTGTGTATGACCATTTAACATGCCAATAATTTGGTTTGACCATGAAAATATTTTTACTTGTGCCAATTGTGCCACTCTCAGCGTTAGATGTCCCCAGAGTAACTGGAATACAGGGGCAGAACGTAGCGAAATGTTTGCTGTTCGACAGTAATCGGGAGCAGAGCTGAGCAAAAGAAATCAACATTCCTCCAATTACATTATCATGTGTGCTGTAACGTTAATTGCATTTATTCAGTGGTTTTCCTTAAAATGTGTTCGTTAAAATGTATTGATTTATGTCTTTAAATAACTGGTTAATTGACTTTAAAAAGTAATATAATTTAAAACCGTTTGACATTTTTGTATTGATTTGATACAATAATTTGTTAATATATTCATGTAAAAAAGATCTAATTATTGAAAACCACATTTATTCATATGAACAAGGAGTTAGTTAATTGATTTATCGTCAATAATGAAATGTAACGCTATTAAACTAAACACTTTTGTCTGTTAGTTTTAGTTTTTAACATTTTATAATTTTTCAAATAAGTAAAACAATAGATTTCGCATGCATTGTTCGGTTATTTTTTGTTTCAATGTATCAAATAATTGGCTGATTGATTACAGTACAACTAAATTATTTCTAAGTAAGACAATGGGAATTTAGAGTCAATTTATCAAATAAGCAATTTATGAAGTACCTGTTTGTTTTGAGACTCAATACATATACATACGTAATTCATTCAGCGTTTTTGCATTATTTTATTTAATAATTTACAACTGTGCAATCGTGAAAGAAATACAATATTCATTATATTTTTAAAAACAGGAAATGTGTTCTATTTCCGGTTCACTAAAATGTTGTACTTAAACTCTTCCGGGTTGAAACCGCTTATACCGTTGTGTACCAAAACAAAAACTCTCTCTTTCGGTCCCATATGCTTAAATTTAATGATTAAAAATTAATCGGTTTGATTTCATCATGGCGGGTTTACCACCGGGTGATCCGCAACTAGTGTCAATGATCGTCAATCACTTAAAAACACAAGGACTCTTTGACCAGTTCAGGAGGGACTGCCTTGCAGACGTCGACACGAAGGTAACAACATAACGAAATGAATACAGTCTCAGTACATTACACATTGAACGTTTCAGTGTTTATTTTTGTTCAAAAGTACAGATCACATCTCCTCACTGCATGTGTTGGAATAAGCTAGCTAACAACAACTAAGTACGACAGTACTGCAAAAGTACTCATCGTGTACAACGAATCGCGATTTATTCCAACATTTTAAAGTGAGGTTACTCTTTCGGGCGCCCGGTGGTCCAGTGGTTAGCGCGTCGAACTCAGAGTGCAGATTCCTGCTCCGGCCTCCCTGTGTGGAGTTTGCATGTTCTCCCCGGGCCTGCGTGGGTTTTCTCCGGGTGCTCCCATTTTCTCCCACATTCCAAAAACATGCATGACAGGTTAACGGAACAGTCAAAATTGTCCCGAGGTGTGTGTGTGAGCACGGATGGTTGTTTATCTGTGTGTGCCCTGAGATTGGCTGGCAACCGGTTCAGGGTGTCCCCCGCCTACTGCCCGAAGACGACGGGGATAGGCTCCAGCACCCCCCGCGACCTGACCCTCATGAGGAAAAGCGGATCGGAAAATGGATGGATGGATAGTTACTGTTTCTTTACTCTACCAGCAATCCTGCCAGTGGTCTCCATTCAATAGTCGTCCAGGTTTTCTTGATGCGTGTTTCACAAATGATGTTGATGCTGGACTGACAGCATCTTTGTGAGGTTTATAGGTGTAAAATATATCGATAAATGTGAAACTATTTATGATGCCAATCTCCTTTCAAGTAGTGGTCGTCTTCAATTTTTACTGAACCAAGGCACTCGTTTTACAATTGCAAAATGTAACGGCACACTACTAAAGAAAAATGTACCAAAAATGATGTCTATCAATACTGGAAAAACTGATTCAGCCGTCTCAAGATTCTTCTTAGTGTGAAATATGTGCCCGTTTCATTCAAAACAAAGCTGACTCTCAAGAATCCTTGAAATATTCTGCAATAGTTGTCACAAGTTGCAATCAATCAAAACAGTAGAGAAACTACATTGTTAAAAATAACCCCCAAAATGGATTCGTTGTGTTGGTTAATGGGCATTTTAAGAGCACATTGAGAAACTCAGAACTAAGAAATTAGTATGACCATGATAACTGCTTGTGTAGTTGAATCCAATACAGTAGATGAAAATAAAACATCAACATTTAGCATGCATTTTGCCTTCTTTTTAGGAAATGTATGTTGTAGATGAGTGTAACAGTGACTATAATTTTAACAAATGTTTTATTTACAACATACCATGGTAAATTAAAAAAGCATCTATACAATTTATACCTCAATGCACAGACCATTCAACTTTTGCATATGTTTTGCAGCCAGCATATCTGAACTTGAAACAACGAGTCGACAACTTTGTCTCCAATCACCTCTCCAACCACACTTGGAGCCCCCAGTTGAACAAAAATCAGTTGCGAAACAACATCAGGCAGCTTGTGTTGCAGTAAGTTTTTTTTTTTTTTTTTTTTTTTTTTAACATCTGCTCTCCATGTTTTCAAGTTTGAAATGAAACTTGAAAAAACTCAAAGGAATTTATCCCTCTTAGATCTGGCATGCTGGAACAAGGAGTAGACAGAATCGTGGCCCAGGTGGTGGATCCCAAAGTCAACCACATCTTCAGGCCACAGGTAGAGAAAGTGGTCAACCAATTTATGTCGCCTGGTACCAGCACTGAGGAGCTGCCAGTGCCGATGCCCTCGACAGAGATCAAAGTGGACGCCATCATCCCACAGCAGGGTGCGTGTGATGTCGTCGTTCAGTCACCTTCTCATCCACCCATTAACTACCAGAGTGATGTTGTGTGATCAAGTGTAAGCTTTCATTGTAGTTAATTCTGACCATTTTATTGTTTAGCCTCAACATCTGTGTCGACGCCCACTGCTGCCACAGACGCCTTGTCCATCTTGGACGCCATCACTTCTCTCAACCAGGAGGCCAACATCAGGTCCACCGAGAAGGGTGGTAAAGCCCACGATGAGCCCATTGAGGACGGCGAGCAGGACATGAGTCTGGATGAGGAGGAAGACATAAAGACTGAGCAGGTAGAGACAGACGAAGCAAAGCTGGTGGCGGAGCTCCAGGAATTAGAGGTAAAGACGGACGACCCTCCGGACCAGATGGACATCGGGAAGGAAATTTCCACGGAGGAGGTAAAGATGGAGGAGGAAGAGCTGCGAGCTGAAGACCAGGCTGAAGAGAAACCGAAAGCGGGCGGTAAAACAACTGAGAAACTTTCAGAGGACAAACAGGAAGAAGATAGCAACCAGGCCAAGCAGAAAGCCAAAGAGAGGATAAAGGAAGGTCAGTGACTGTGTAGTTAAGCAATTCATTCAGTTTTAATTGCTGGTTTAGTCCATGACATGTCAGAAAATAGTTTTGAGATATGAGCCGTCCTTCAGCAGATTACCTCGCTTTGACTTGCAAACAAATATTTGAGATTTGTTTTCACAAAGAATGAACAATTCTTCAAAAAGAGGCTTCAAACTGTTAAGTGCCACCCTCGGTTGAAGTCTGCTCTCAACCTAAGTTTCCACGTTGTATATTTAAAACAAGGA